CCCTGTCTCTCCCTTTCTCCCCCACCGTCTCCCCCTGTCTCTCTCTCCCTCGTCTCCCCCGTCTCTCCCAGCATCCCTCTCCCTCATTTAAAATCACGAGAAGACTTTCTCGAACACAGAAGAACGTTTGTGAGGCAGCGTGGTGGAATCAGGCTCTCGTCAATTTTTGGCCATGTAGAGTTATTGGTATCATCTTATATCTTGTTCAGTTGTCTTTATTTGGATGGGAAAAAAATATCCATTTATTTTAAATACAAGTCGAGATATTTGCGAATGAAGGAGGTGGGGGTCACCTGTTTTCAGAGGTAAAAAGAGTGAGAAAATGGTTTCCAAAGATTTGTTATTTCCTTAGCTTAAGAGTCCGTGGTAACTGAAAATTTACATTTTTGTGTCCCTTTAATTAACGTTTTTCAGAAAAATCCACACAGAAATTAGTTCTTTAATGGGCATGAAAGGTGTTGAGGCAAACAACCAAATATTTGGTGAAAATTCAAAAACCTGTGGAAAAAATGCAAGTTTCTTCACTTTGATTATTTTGACGAGAGCCTGATTCCACCACGCTGCCTCACGTTTTAACTTTCCAGCTGAGCAACTTTTTTCAATAAAAAGAGGTGTTCCTTATTCTGGACATCCGACCTGTGACGTAAGCAGTCTGAAATGAGGTCAGATCGACAGCGTTCACTGACCTTTCTAAACTGACGACATCTACCCTGTGCATTCTTTCACAGGTTCTTGTGGAAGTTGAAATTACAGACCATTAACTTTAACCCCATAGATAGATGTTTGATATGATAGGAAAGAAGGAGCAAACCACAGCAGAGCGCCCACCAACCACCCACTCTGTACGTTTTCTTCATAGCAGTCTGGCAAAATGATCTTTTGAGAGATACAGAAAGTTTCAAAGAGATCATTCTAGAAGTATTCTAAAATGTGAAGAATACAACCCCGGGGGTAGAAAATGATCCCCAGGGGGGAGCGGATAGGGTTAAGGGGGTAGCACACGTTCAGTAAAAACTGACGGTTCATCCTGTTTAGGATAAGAAAATATCGTGAGTGGTTGGCGGGTGCTCTGGTGTCGTTTGCTTCTTCAATTTAATCCGATATTGGTTTTCCTTATCTTTCTAAATCTACCTCCTCTCTTGTGTTTGTCTCTCTCTTGTACCACCTCACATCTTCGGCACTTATACGACCTAACTGTGTTGCAAGTGCTGTACAACTCTTACTAAAACAAAAACAAAAACAAAATAGAAAATAGACCCAAAAAACACCAGGACTACAGTGACATGATGAAACCATGTGGTGAAACGTTTCCAAATTCAGTTTAATCTTTCCTTTTTTTTTTCTTTTTTTTTGTTCGTTGTTTGTTTTTGCTTTTCTTTTTTACTTTTATTTTGTTTTAAATAGTTTTATTCGATTTGCTTCCTGTTCTTGGAAAAAAGAAAGGGGAGAGTAGGGGGTGGGGTGCTGACGATTTAGTTATCTCTCTCTCTCTCTCGCACACTTGAAAATATGTGAATACAAACATATATTATGCTTTTATATATACACGCATACATACACTTACACACACACACGTACACACACACACGTACACACACACACACACACACACACACACACACACACACACACACACACACACACACACACACACGCTAAACACACACACACACACACCCTCACACAAACACACACACACAAACACACACACACAAACACAAACCCACACACACAAACACAAACCCACACACACCAAACACACACACACACACACACACACACACACACACACACACACACACACACACACACACACACGACTACAAACAAGAACAAACGCAAACTCATAAAAAAAAACCAAAAAGGCGTTTGGTGGACAGATCTCAGCACAGATTTTATTGTGGCTCTCCAGAAGTCTCTGATGGACAAAGTGTGGCCTCCACACCGTAGTGATCTGACAGGGGTAGGCCTGAGGGGTCTGTCTCGTCCAAGATTCGCTGTGCAACGGGGGGGGGGGAGATGAGATGAGAATAGGGAGATGAGATGAGATAAGACGAGAATATGGGGATGAGATGAGATGAGTGAGATGAACGAGATGTGGGTAGAAGAGATGAGAGGGATGATATGAGAAGAGGGGAGAAGAGATGAGTGGGATGATATGAGAAGAGGGGAGAAGAGATGAGTGGGATGATATGAGATGAGGGGAGAAGAGATGAGTGGGATGATATGAGAAGAGGGGAGAAGAGATGAGTGGGATGATATGAGATGAGGGGAGAAGAGATGAGTGGGATGATATGAGATGAGGGGAGAAGAGATGAGTGTGATGATATGAGATGAGGGGAGAAGAGATGAGTGGGATGATATGAGATGAGGGGAGAAGAGATGAGTAGGATGATAGATGAGGGGATTAGAGATGAGATGAGATAAGATGAGATGAGATGAGACGTGGTGAGGTGAGGTTCGTTTTGTTTTAGTAGGAGTTTTACGGCACTTGTAACACAATAAGGTCAAATAAATGTCGAAGATAGGTGTTACAAGAGAGTAACAAACACAAAAAAGAAGGAGGGCAGATAAAGACGATAGATGTTTAATAGGAAAGAAGAATTGCAAACCACATCAGAGCACCCGCCTACCACCCACATTTTTAATGATGAATATGAACATGATGAAGAGGATGATGACGACCACGACGATGACGATGATCAAACAGACAAACAAACAGGTCCTTTTTACCTTGGCCTCCAGCGCCTCCAGATGGCCCCCCATCAACAGCACCTGGTCAATGGTGATGGAGCAGTAGTCCGTGAGAGGGTTGGAGTCACAGAAAGTACAGCGGCCGTCCTGCTCAGAATAGGGCTCTCTGGAGATTCAACAAACGTAATAAAAAGTGATATGAGATAAAGTTGTTTGTTTGTGTTTTTGGCTCAACACTTTTATTGTCCTAAAATTGTTTTAAAAAGATACACCTTTCAGTGTGAATTTTACTGAAAAGTGTTGATTTAAAGCACACGAAATATTATGTGAGGTGTGCTGACAAAATGAGTTACATCTTGCGATACACGAATGGAGATGCCGGCCGAAAATTGGCACATCGAATTCCTCAATTTTTTAATACTTATTTTTTAAAATAGAAACATTGTGGTAAAAAAAAAAAAAGATATATGAAACATTATCAGCAGTCTCCCTCTGAAGACCAACGTGAGTCGACCTCGTGTTCCTTTTTACCAGGCGCACACTCATATTTGGTCGCTTTTAAGGTCAAGGGGTTATCCCGAAAAAAGCTGTCATGAGAAAATCAAAGGAAATGTTTTTGGACCCTTGTTCAGTTTCTTTAAAAGACAAGGAGAGTTTTCTTTATATCCAAACAAATGTACACACCAATGAAACCAAACTTCTCCTATAGGTAGGGCAATTCCCACTTTTGGTGTAGGTCACGATTTCTGGAAACCCCCGAAATCTGGGTTAGCCCCCTTGAACTTATAAGCGACCATATTGTGTTGGTGCCAATCATGTCAGTCGCACTCAGCTATTTCGAGCAGCAAAGCCCGAAAGGATAACAAAAATATAAATCGATTTTTCGGTGGATTTTTTGTATTGTTTTGCTTTGTTTTTCATATCCTTGAAAGTTTGGTGGTGTTTCGATGTCCGTCTCATAAAAGAACAAGTAACTTTGTTCCACTAGATTTATTTCATTGTGACTTATTTCTGAGGTGTAAATAGTTTGACGTAAAATATTGCTCGACTTTGGAGCCTGTTTCCTTATTTACATTACTATTATCAATACTTCTACTACCATTATCACTATTGCAGTGTACTGTATTATTGGTAGTATTATTATGACCATTTTCATCATCATCATCATCATCATCATCATCGTCGTCGTTGTCACCACTATCACCATTATCATTACCAATACCATTACTTTTATCATTATCGTTATCATTATCTCTACCATTACCAATATTATTATTACCATTATTACTATTATTATTATTGTTATTATTAGTATTAGTATTAGTATTAGTAG